ATAGCGAGTAGAAATGTGCCGCGTGAATTCAAGCGTTCCACGGGGAAGACGGTGTACGCTTCGTCATCGTTTTCTTTGATTGGAGGCGGCAGCGTCTTTGGCTTGCGGCGCTTCAACTGTTGGGTTGACATGGACTCCTTCACACGGAAGAGCTACTGATAACTTGTGTACTGGAGATCACCTTGTAAAATGAGGCGGTAGGGATGCAAACACCTGTTGGTTTACCGGCTTATGATCCGTAGCCACTTGAAGAAGGCTCCTTGTGTGCTGAGACCTAACGACGGCACGACCTCCGCTTTGTGTACGTTTTTTTCTTGTACTCAAGTAGCAAACTCTTGTAGGAAGGTGAAGGCGATCAGAATGAAGGAAAAGCTCTCCTGTTGCGCCCATACCGTAGCACTCTATCCACAGATTATTGTCTCCGCTATTGAAAGTCATCCCAGGGCGATTCGAAGAAAAGAAAAATACTGGAGGATTGACTCTTTAGATAGCTAAACACTTTGATTTAGATAGCAAAAGACTTTGACAGCATCGTTATTTCGTGGTTGTCCTCAACTTGAAAAAACGCAAATGTTATGGCGACAGGAAGTGGAGCTTAAGTATGATCATACAGCAGATTCAACTTCAGGTTGCAGCCGAGCAACGCGATATGCATCAACGAGAAACAAAGCTATGGAACTCCGAAGCGACACAGTTATTGAGTTGGGGCACAACTTACGAAAGTGAAAACGCGTCATTCTTGAACTCGATCATAACGAATGCTATCGATCACCGATTAAGATTTCTGCTTTATATCCCACGAACGAAAAGCGGATTATTGTCCTGCCACTATACGCCTACCAAGAGAGAGGCTAATACTACCTTAGATAAGAACGAGCTTGTAGTCGCCACAACCAACTTCGTCCTTGTACTTATCAAACATTTCCTGAAGCACGGCGAAATACTTGGAATGCACCTTGTCGATATCGTCTTGTGTGGGCTTTTCGATGTGCGGCACCTCTAGGGGTTTCCCCACCACGATGGGGATGTCAACTTTTCGTGGAATCGGTAGCATTCCTCGACCGTACGGGAAGTACGGGAACGGGAACGCGAGCTTCTTGACGAACCAGCGCTGTAGCATAGGAGCCTGAACGTTGTCCATCATTTCGCCCTCCTTGAAACTCAACACTGGTACAAGCGGCACCCCATGCTCGATAGCGAGGCGGATAAAACCCTTGTGGTGGGTATATATACGCACCTCTCTCTTTGCTGACTGCTGCTGCAGCATCTCGGCTTGGCCACCGGGGACAAGCAATACGCTCTCTTTCTGCTGCAGTGTGTGGGCGAACGCCGTTCGGGTAACTTCACGCGAGCCGTAAAAGTGGAGCACGTCTCGGGCGAGTGGGATTTGATGCAGAATACTCGCCGTCAAGATATGCGCATAAAAGTTGGGGAACAGCTTTCGCCACTGAGCTGTGAACTGGAGCCACATGACTGAGATCGGCATGATACCGTGTGGGTGGAAGCTCAGCACGTACTGCTTCTCCGGGTCAAGCGGTGCCATGCGGATAATAGTTCCGCTAAAGTACCTCTTGACTGTATCTACGAGGAAGCTACGACCGGTAACCCAACTAGCACGCTCGCGACAACCTGTTTGTTGAGGGTTTCCGCGGTACGTGAGTTCGTAGATGTAGATGAAAATAGTGAGGAGTAGCACCGGCACAAACGCGGCCATATCGTAAATGTAGTGTCGATATGTCGCAACTGCTGGAAGGCAGGCCGTGACAATCTGGGGCAGCACATACTTGACATGGTATCGGTTGACTTCTTTCAGCAGGCCGTTGTGCGAGTCTTTCAAGTACAAGTGCGTCGCAATGGAACGAGATACTACCATAACAAACTCCATACCAGTTGCCATTATGCCGTAGAAGGCAACACCTGCCGGACTCAAGTTTGTTGTGGCGGCAAAGAAGACGAATAATAATGCATTCGGAATGAACTGAATGTTGGCCAATCCTCCGACGACGAGAACACCCAGACATTCATCTGCAAAATCGTGCATGCGTACATGGAAACCTAGAAGGCGGGCGTGCAACGAAGGGGTCGCTGTTATCATGGCCTCATTTGTCTTCTCTGAGGTAGTTTCCACCTCAGTCGTGGCATCAGCAGAAGAAGTGTTTGCATCATTGCCAGATCTCGACCGTTTCGGTGATTGACCAGCCTTTCGGAATACCAGTAGCGACATCATCATGCCGATTTCCGCAACCACGAACAATGAACCAGCCACAGCCATTGCACCAACAAACAATTCCAGCTCCACAACAACCAGTGAAAGCAAATACAACACCTGGAGAGCAGCCCCAGCACCAAAACATGTCCAGGACAC